GAATCCTTGTGTTCGGGGCCGGAATTCTGCGCAGCCCGGAGCTTCTGTGGGCGAGTGGGTTTCCTCTGTGTGTGCTGGTGGCTGCGCAGGAAACCCTAGGCTGGAGACTGAAGGATCCCGGCGTCGAGCTTGCTCTGCACTGGCCGACAGCGGCGCCCAGAGGTTCTGTGTGGAACCGCAGTCTGTCTTGTTTTGAAATCTTTATTTCCAAAATTTATATAGAACTCTTCGATAATGTAGCTATCGGTATGTAATTGCCACAAATTCTAGTCTCAACACAGTATTACAGTGGATGCTTATGTTTTAGTGTCTTAAAGAAATTTATTATCGATAATTTCAAACTTATACAACATTACAGAGTGGTATGGATTATGTTGTAAACCTTCACACCCCCATCCTCCAGCTTCAATAATGATTAACACAAAGCCAATCTTTATTTAAAATATACTGCACTCCACCAATACTGAGGCGAATCCAAAATACAGCATTTCAATGAAAACTTATGAAGAGGAATTGAAGTAAAAAATCTTATCTTTCATTTTATTAATGCCCTATAATCTGTTACCAATGGATAGTAATCCTGTACGGTTTAAGAAAATTAGAATCCAGTAATTTTCCTGTTCTGTTCTGTCATCCATCCAGTGTACCTTGTGTTCTGGTTTAAGAGGCAAGTGACATTTTTGTGAAATAGTAGCTACTATAGTAGCAATGACATACATTTGTATTGATGCTATTATGTTTTCCCAAAATTAATATAATTTTAAAAATATTAATGAATACTAAACAGATAGGTTAGTCACCAGGACAGAAATTTAAATGGCAGTTTTCTTCCTGCATGGCTAAAATATGACTCTGGAGGCCTAGCATGGTGGAGCACACCTGCAATCCCAGCACTTAGGAGCCTGAAACAGGAGGATTGCTGCAAGTTTGAGGCCAGCATGGGCTACATAATGAGTTCAAACACAGTCTGAAGTACTTAAGAAGACCTTATCTCAAAAGTATGACCCTGAATGATGCTTCAGTTTTTTCCTGTTAGCTTAAGGAACAAAAAGTGTTGAAAATAATTAAAGTGTATGTATCTCATTGGTGGGTTTCCAGACACATTTGTTCTCATTTTCTTACAAGTAAAAACATAGAAAAAGTAATTATGAAGGCAAATAAAATATTACTCTATATCCATGGAAATTCCTGCCAGGAATTATTATGAATCATGTGCTTATACATTTGAGTCAACTTCAAAGTTTTTTTCAAGAGCATCCTGAACAATTTATTAGTCAAAAAGTAGCGTTATATTTCCTATCACATTCAATAATACATTATTTCCTTATAGCTAAAAGCCAGTGAAACATTTTTAGAATCTCTTTAGCATTTTTTCTTTTCTTTCCATTTCTTTTATGTCTTTCTTTCTTTTTGAGATGGGGTCTCACTATGCAGTTCAGGCTGGGCTCGAACTCACTATGTAGCTGAGGCTGGACTCAAACTCACAACGATCCTCCTGCCTCAGCCTCCTGGGTGCTGCAATTACTGACCTGGGTCACCACACTTGGCTTCCCTAGCATTTCTTGAGAATATGTTCCTTCCTTATATCCCATATAGGTACATTTCTAGCTTTTTTCAAAGGAAGAATAGAGCTCAAAATAGCAGAGAGCTGAAGAATAATTTTAATTCCTGCTTTTTTTTTTATTCTTTCACAGTATTCAGTCTTAGAAAGTTGTCTCCAGCAAGTATATGCCTTAGAAAAGAAGAGTGTCAAAACTATTTTTTATAAATTGACATTACACCTTCAGGAAATAAACCTTTGAGGAAATGAGCAATTATTCACCATTAAAATAATAAACATGCTTTACTAGGGTTTGGAAATTGATGGCTAGATTTGATTATCCCCAGAAAAGATCTTTAAGTGCAAACTATCTCTACAGGCTTGGCATCTGAAAAACAGCAGCTCAATGGAGAGGTTTGCTGTTACAGAAACAGAAGAGTATAAGCACAGCATCTGGGCTTTCAATTGTCTAAGAAAAAGCATCTTCTTTCCCATTAATTTACACTTTTAAAATCATATAAAGCTGTAGGAAAGATTTTAGGAGTAAGAATTTTATGATGGGCACTGAAGATAACAATAATCAATAAACTTCAGAAGAGATAAGCAACTGGAGAATTAGTAGTGAACCACTGCAACAATCAATCAACACCTCTCGAAAAGGCCACATCCATGCAGGACAATGAAAGCTGTCTCAGGAAGAATGGTTTCTGTTGACACTAGGTTAATTATTGGGAGAAATAAAAACTTACATTAGTGACATAATCCATGAATGCCTCCTTTAGATGTTAGGGCAGAAATTAGGCTCATTGAAAACTTAAATGGTGAGAAATATATTATATCAACTAGTGCTACCTTAAGTAGGAACATTTTATGAGAAAGCTGTTATAGACAGTAAATAAGAAAAAGACAACTCACAGGAACCAAAGGAGTGTCATCGATAGGAAACTTGGAATCAACTGAACTGCACAAAGGCTCGTTTTTCCCACAGCTCTCCTGGCTGATGAGTGTATCTGCATAGTTGGGCTGGGGGAAGATCAGGTGGCTCTTCCTAGAGTCAGCTGTCAAAGAAAACTCCTGGGAATAGGTCTGCAGGAAAGCCTGTACTCCTTCCATACCTACAAACTGTGAGGCGGCCATGCCAGGAAACCCGTCACTTTCAACTTGCAGTAGTCTTGAAGAGTGCCACTGCTGCAGCTTCAGTGCTAGAAGCACAAGGACAAAGGCCAGGAAGACACAAGAGACAATAGCCACTGCCACCACCAGATAGAGTGTGAGGTCTGATTCATCAAGGTTGGCGGGGGTCTGGATGCTGCTCAGGTCAGCCAGGATATCAGGGATGCTGTCAGCTACAGCCACAGTGAGTGTGACAGTGGCTGAGAGAGGAGGCTGGCCATGGTCCTGCACAGCCACCACGAGGCTCTGCTTGAGTGCATCTCTATCCAACAGGGTCCTTGCGGTGCGCACCTCCCCGGTGCGCAGTCCCACTGAGAAGAGCCCAGGCTCACTGGCTTTGAGTAAGCGATAGGACAGCCAGGCATTCTGACCTGAGTCTTTGTCCACTGCCACCACCTTGGTCACCAGGTATCCAGGCTCTGCAGAGCGGGGTGCCAGCTCCACACCAGTAGAACCATCAGTAGGGAGAGCAGGATACAGGATTTCAGGGGTGTTGTCATTCTGATCAAGGATAAACAGGTTCAGTGACACATTGCTGCGGAGTGGTGGGTTCCCGCTGTCACTTGCCCTTACTTGCATTTGCAGATTTTGAAACTGTTCATAGTCAAAAGAACGCAGTGCATACAACACACCAGTGTCAGAGTTAATGGACACATAGGAGGAGAGAGGAGCCCCCTCGATGGTATCCTCCGCCAAGGAATAAATAACTCTAGCATTCTCATTGTCATCAGGGTCATAGGCAGACACAGAGAAGATGGAGGTTCCCCTTGGATTGTTCTCAGGGAGGTAGACAGAGTAGAGGGATTGAGAGAAGGCAGGTGGGTTGTCGTTGATGTCGGCCACATACAAGGTGATATGAATTTCTGTGGATAAGGGCGGGGTTCCTCGGTCTGTTGCCATCACAGTAATATTATACTCAGAGGTCTTCTCCCGATCAAGAATTTCATCAGTCAACAATCTATAATAGTCTTCTACTGAATTTTCTAATTTAAAAGATAGATTCTGCTGGATGGAACAGACAACTTGACCATTCTTCCCTGAATCTCGGTCATGAGCATTGAAAAGAACAATTACTGTTCCCTGCGGAGCATCTTCCCTCACTGGGCTAAACAGAGATGTAATGGTCACTTCCGGTCTGTTGTCATTTACATCTTCTACCATAATTAACACTTTTGTCCGTCCTTTCAATCCCCCTCCATCTTCAGCCTGAATTTCCATTTCATAAAACGAACATTCTTCATAATCTAGACTTTTTGCGACTGATATTTCCCCACTGTTTTCATTTAGCTGGAATAAGGAAGATTGTTTTCCATTGATTTTCCGCAATTTATATGTCACTTTTCCGTTGGTTCCCTCATCAGGGTCGCTAGCTCTCACTGTAAGCAGCAGGGTGCCCGGGGGCACGTTCTCAAGGACTTTCACTCGGTAAATCGGTTGGGCAAAAACCGGGGCATTGTCGTTTGTATCCAACACTGTCACCTGGATGTGCACTGTGCTGGAGCGGCGCGGCTCGCCACCGTCCGAGGCGGTGAGCACCAGGTGGTGAGTGGCCTCTTCCTCTCTGTCCAGGGTGCGCTCCAGCACCAGCTCTGGGTTTATAGTTCCGTCATCTCCGGTTTGCACGTCCAGAGAGAAGTGGTGACTGGGGCTGAGCCGGTAGCTCTGTAAGGAGTTCACGCCCACATCCGGGTCAACCGCTTCTGGGAGTGGAAAGCGTGCTCCAGAAGAAGCGAGTTCATTAATTTTTACTTCAAGATTTTCTGCCTCAAATTTTGGTGCATTGTCGTTGATATCAGTTACTTCTATTTCTATTCCGTAAAGTTTCACTCTGTCTTCAACCAAGACTTTAAAGTTCACTAAACACCGCGCGCTCTGGGCGCACAGCTCCTCCCGGTCTATCCTGCCCGCAGTGACCAAGCTGCCGCTGCGCGGATTCAGAGAGAAAAGCTGCGTCCTACCTCTGGAGACGATTCGGACTCCGCGCTCAGTCAGCTCCTGGGGCTCCAGTTCCAGGTCCTTGGAGATGTTGCCCACGATATATCCCTGTTCTCTCTCTTCTGGCACTGAGTAGCTTATCTGACTGGCCCTGGCCTCCCACAGCGTCCCCAGGAACGCGCACAGCAGGGCCAGTCGTCTGCAGTGCTGGCGTTTGGTCGGAGCTGCCATTGTGCGTTGCCACGGAATTGTCTCAGAAATCTCTCTGTGCGCACAGACTCTAGATTCTTCTTTTCCTCCTACAAAGTCTGGTTATCCTTTTCCTTAGAGGAAAGCCAGAATGCCTGTTAAGAGGTCGAATTTTGTTGCAGCCCAGGATCCAGTTTGAGGGATATGAGGGGCTTTACGTAGATGCAGAGCTGGAGCGCTGTTTTTCTTAAGAGTTGGTGAACAGCGGCGCTCAGAGTCCTAAAGCGTTACTACACCAAGTGAGGTATTCAACTTTTCCTTTTTTTTTTTCTTTTTGAGATGGGGTCTCGCTATGTTGCTCCAGCTAATCTCCTTTCTTGAGCTTCAGATGTTCCTGCTTCAGCCTTCCCAGTAGCTGGAACTCCAGGCGCACCCAGCAAAATATACACATTTGACTATACATGGTTGATAAAGAAAACAGCACTCTCTTCTAATTAGGATTTTGGATTTGTGTTTTCTTCTTCTTCTTTTTTTTTTTTTTGCATTCATAGTTTAAAAGGAATTACCATTTGTAGATATCTGAGTTGTAAATGAAGGGAAATGAAATTTCTGTAATTATTAAATCACTAGACTTTTTTTTTTTTTGGCTTAATATCTACCTGATTTATTTTGGTAGAATCTTATACTCTTTGTGAACGTATGTAAAATGTTATAATTTTCTATCCTTTATTTTATTTATTTTTTGAGACAAAGTCTTGCTATGTAGTTCAGGCTGGCCTTGAACTCACTTTATAGTTTAGGCTGGCCTCAAACTCATGGTGACCCTCCTGCCTCAGCCTCCTGAATGCTGGGGTTACAGCTATGTGCCACCATGCCCCACCGCTATAATTTTTAATGATGCTTCTTTTATCTGTATATCTTTACCAATCTTCAGATGTAATTAAGATGTGCAGTCCTTTTCAAAAATTCATTCATATTTTCATACTTTTCATCTGTATTTGTAGTTCCTTTTTGTATGTACATTACATAATAATATCAAACAAATATATATGGATAGATTATTCACTTAAAATTATTTTATAAGGTCAACATATTTTGATGGTAAAATTCCAGAAGGAAAGTTTCATTTAAAATTGGGGGTCACAATCCAAAAATGGGCAGCTGAGATGAATACACACTTCTCAGACAAGGAGATACAAATGGCAAATAAATATATGAGAAAATGTTCAACATCATTAGTCATTCGAGAAATGCAAATTAAAACAACACTGAGAT